CCCGACCTGGACCCCGCCCCCCCATCGACGGCGCCTCCTTCACCTGGCGCGGCATCCTCGTCGGCCTCGCCGTCGGCCTGGTCATCTGCTTCTCCAACATGTACTTCGGCCTGCAGACCGGCTGGGTCAGCACCATGAGCATGCCGGCCTCGCTGATGGGCTTCGGCCTGTTCCGCCTGCTGCGCGCCCGCCTGGGTCCGCTGCCCTTCTCGCCCGTCGAGAACGTGCTCGTGCAGACGGTGGCGGGGAGTATGGCTATCATGCCGTTGGGGTGTGGCTTTGTCGGCGTGCTGCCGGCGATGAATTATTTGTTGACGCCCGAGGAGCAGGGCCCGATTGTGTTGGGACTGGGGAAGCTGGTGTTGTGGAGTTTGGGGCTGTGTTATTTTGGCGTGGTGTTTGCGGTGCCGTTGCGGAGGCAGGTCGTGATTAGGGAGAGGTTGAAGTTTCCAAGTGGGTTTAGTACGGCCGTGTTGATTAGTGTGTTGCATGGGAAGGCGAGGGAGGGGGAGGGGGAGTCGGCTGGCGGGTTTGCGAGTCTTGCGGCGAGGGAGGGGGACGGGGATGTACAGGCTGTGAGTGACGCGGATGGAGAGGGTGTTAAGCATGCTGAGTCATGGAGGCGGAACGTGCGGTTGCTGTTGATTTGCTTCTTTGTGTCGGGGGTGTTTACGCTTGCGACCTACTTCCTCCCGGTACTGAGGAATATCCCCGTCTTTGGGTCTGTCGCGGCCAGCTCATGGCTGTGGACGCTCAACCCTAGCTTGGCGTATGTCGGGCAGGGCATCATCATGGGACCGGCCACCACGCTGCATATGCTACTGGGTGCCGTCGTCGGGTGGGGGATACTCTCCCCAGTGGCCAAGAGCAGAGGGTGGGCACCCGCACCGGTGGGTGACTGGGAAAATGGGAGCAAGGGCTGGATTGTTTGGATCTCGTTAGCCATCATGCTGGCCGATGCCGTGGTCAGTTTGGGCTATCTAGCGCTCCGCTCGGGGAAGCAGTACCTCCCTTCCTTCCAGCCGGTACATAGCCGCGTCAAGACGTTGTTGGGTCGGAGGTCGCACGCAGGGTACACCTCGATCAACACTGGCACCGATGTCGACGACGCTACCTCGTCGCCTAATCTAAGGAACAGGCCAGCCTCGGAGAGAGACGACACGCCTTTGCTCGGCGAACGCGAAGAGCAAGATGAAGAAGAAGACGCGCCTGCCGACCAGCAGATTAGCGACCGTCTCGTCGTCATCGGCCTCATCCTCTCCATCATCTTCTGCGTCGTCTGCATCCACATCGTCTTTGGCGATCTCGTCCCTCTCTACGCCACCGTCACGGCTGTCTTTATGGCCCTCGTACTGAGCATCATGGGTGTCAGGGCCTTGGGTGAAACCGACCTGAACCCGGTCTCAGGCATCAGCAAGCTGGCCCAGCTGTTCTTTGCCTTGATCATCCCCCAGTCCAACAAGTCGAGCGTTTTGATCAACCTGGTGGCTGGCGCGGTATCCGAAGCCGGTGCCCTGCAGGCGGGCGACATGATGCAGGATCTCAAGACGGGACATCTGCTTGGGGCTGCACCGAAGGCCCAGTTTTGGGGTCAAGTTATCGGAGCGACGGCGGGGGCTGTCGTCAGTGCCTTCATCTACCGGATGTACACCTCGTAAGTTGTCCATGTCTCTTATCCAAGCCATTCACACATCCAACTAACCCCTATCAGCGTCTACCAAGTACCAGGTGACCTCTTTCAAGTCCCCACCGGCTACGTCTGGATTTTCACCGCCCGCCTGGTCACCGGCAAGGGCCTCCCACCCATGGCCAAGGAGTGGGCCATCGGGTCTGCCATCCTGTTCGCCCTCACCACCGCCGTGCGGACCCAAACGGCCGGCAAGCGCTGGCACTCCCTGATCCCGGGCGGCATCGCCGTCGCCGTGGGCATGTACAACGTCCCGTCTTTCACGCTGGCGCGTACCATCGGCGGACTGCTGGCGTGGTGGTGGCGGTCGACGATGGGGTGGAAGGACACGCCGTTGATTGTACTTGCTTCGGTAAGTTACCTGCAACTGACTCCATGTGTGAATTATGATGGTTTTGCTAACAGTAGCTAGGGGTTTATTCTTGGCGAAGGGTTCTTGAGCATCGTGTGCTTGATCATGGAAAGTGCTGGCGTCCCTCATCTTTGAAAATATTACAAAACGGATATCTAGACTACTAGATAGCGTGGCGTTTTGGATAAACTGACGGCAAATATAACTTAGAAGCAAAAGACATAATATGAACAACATGGATAGACATTAAAATCTCAAAGATACCCACACATTGCCCGTCTATTGTTTATGATTGCAAGCCTATCATCATTTCATCTAGTTGCACCCGGGCCCTCAGTTCAGCTGCCATGTCTGGGCCTGTTTATCACCCCCTTCCAACCCCCAGGTAATCTTGATATCGAGACCACGGGCATGTCCTCCTGGGTCGAGTAGCGATCTCACCTGTCAGCTTCTTCCCGGTCTACTCATCTCTTCGCTTCGTCTATCAT